TCATTTGCTATCAAAATTTGATCTATAATCTGTCTTCCTTGAATGAAGGCCCCTTGAGATTGTCTTATCAAATTGGGTAGGGCTAGCTTTAACCTTAAGAGCAATACTTTGGCCATAATCTTATAAATGCTAGTCACTAGCCTAATGAATCTTAAGTCTTTCAATTAGACGGCATCTCCTTTTTTAGGTATCAAGGCCAAGAAAGTGGAGTTGATCTCTGGACTAAAACAATGGTCCTCCACAAACTCCACAAAGACTACCCACAAGTCTAACTTGATAATATCCCAAGAATCCTAATAGAAATCCATAGTGAAGTTGTTGGGTCCAAATGCTATAGATCTATCCATTGAGAACACAGCCCCCCTTATTTCTTCTAGGTTGAAATCCTTTTCCAACAAGCTTGCCAACTCAGGGTCCAATCTAGGCCACTCTAAGCCTCACATCCTCCCATCTTTTGTAGACTGCCCTGAAATGATTCATGAAAACTAACCATTGATCTCTAACTTTTCCACAAAGTTCTTTCTCCTCTTTTTGTTAGCCAATGCATGGAAGAATATAGGTGGTAACAATCCTCACCGTGAGCTCTACAGAGGACACACCAATTAGGAGAAATACAGAGGAAAGGTCTTCTCTTTTGTAGGTTATCTAAAATGTTTACTTTCCCATGGAATACTTCCCAACAAAACGCCATAATTTTTTGGGGAATTGGCTTGTACCAAATTTCTTTTGACGGAAAGTGTTGGTTGTGGCGATGGCCATTGGAAAGAGAGAGGTTGTGGCATGAAGTGGTGGGAAGCATTCATGGGAGGTCAGAGAATGGATGGGATGCTGGTGTATCAAGGAAAGCTAACCTAGCAGCACCTTGGAAGGCCATTCACAACACCCTTACTCAATTCCTCAATTTTATCAGGTTTGAAGTTTATTCTGGCAACACTGTTCATTTTTGGGAGGATATTTGGGTAGGAGACACACCTTTAAAGGATTTGTTCCCTTCGCTATTTTCTGTTTCTTTGTACAAAAAAGAGGTGGTYTCAAAATTTGTCKCACCTTTGGGAACACCCTTAGATCCTACTTGGGAWTTTGGGTTTCGTAGAGGACTTAGGGATGATGAAATTGAATCTCTTTCTGTCTTGCTTGGTTGTCTTAATCAGGTTTGTTTGGATCCCTCCAAGCCAGATAAGAGGGCATGGACTCCTAGACCCATTGGAACCTTCACTTGTGCTTCTTTCTTCAAGTCCATCTCTCAACTTTCTTCATTGTTTTCAGCCCCTACCTCCTTCCTTATCAGCTCCTCAAAGGATTCACAAACCAAATCCCAGATTTTTTCACCTTGTTCCCTACATTCAGCCTCCTCACCCCTTTAGTCCCTTCCTCCACTCCCATAACTGTAACCTGCTGGGTTGAGGCAGACAATGGTTGAGGCTGGATAATATATGTTGTATTCACAGAAAGCTCATTAGTATTCTTAAATTCAAGGACTAACACACCTGGAGATGGGGGTTTTGCTGAAGGACTACCGCACAAGGTTTTTGTCTTGAAACTAGACCCGCAAATAACAATTTCCATAGGTTAGGTATTAAACTGAGGCTAAAGGAACATTTAAGTTTAAGCAGTAGACACTCCTCTACTGGTTACACCCCCACTTTGCACTGAAGGGCAGTTTGATACCATTATTGTAGCATCCCGCATCTATTGAGACCTCGAGATAACTTCATGTTCCCTCAGGCATCACCCAAGTTGAATGAGATCTCTTCTTCCTTACCCACCTCCAATGCCGCTTCAGAGGAAAGGAATACGGTGGGAAATGATATTGAAGTTTTCTACTTAAAATTCAACAGACAAACGCAGCCAGAAAACATAAGTATGCAGTGTAAATGTGGATCCAATACACTTTGGGCAATCCCCAAATCATAGTGTCAACTAACAAATAACTTCAATTGAGGTAGTTTTCACTCAAATTTACAGGAAATATCATACTGAAATTCAGAAGAAATATCCATATAAATAGTAGAACCACTAGCCAAGAAAATATAGCAGCACCACAGTATGAAGTTAAAGAATAGAATTACCTGGGCCATATTGAACACAGATCCCATACCAAATCCATTTCATCCATGCCAAAGCATTCATCCCAGAAATAACAAATAATAAGGAACCATACCTCTTTTTTTTTTTGAAAAAGGTAATGTAATGTATAATAAATCACAAGGATTAGAAACACGAACACCAGTGTACAATGAGATTCAGTACATCAAACTATAGGGTATAAAGGAGAACTGAAAAAAGTCTAAACAAAACAGAATGGTAAACTCTCCATGTAAATTCTGCTAGCATAGGGCCAATCCCTAATCAAGCCAAAAGAAGAGTAAATTACAGCCTCAAATGAAATCTTTCTAATGGTAAAAAATCAAAGCATTTCTTTCAAGCCATGCACCCCAAATGATGGCCAGAGGGATCAGAAGTCACGGCCCAAGCCAAACTGCCTCTCTTGCTCATGTTAACATGCCACCCACCTAATACCATACACCACCTATGGCCTACCCAAGCCCAAACCTCTGATATGGCAAGATATCAACTTAATGAAACTCAACTCATTATTTAGTCTTCTTACTAGAGTTTCTACACAACCACTGACCACACACTCCTCCCTCATTCAGTATGTGGACTAGTCACAGGAGGCCAAACTGCCTTTCTTGCTCATGCTGACATGCCACCCACCAAATACCACACACCACCTACCCAAGCCCAAACCTCTGGCATTGCAAGATCATTATTTAGTCTTCTTACTAGAGTTTCTACACAACCACTGACCGCACACTACTACTCCCTCATCCAGTATGTGGACTAGTGGCCAAACTGCCTCTCTTGCTCATGTTAACATGCCACCCACTTAATACCATACACCACCTACCCAAGCCCAAACCTCTGATATTGCAAGATATCAACTTAATGAAACTCAACTCATTATTTAGTATTCTTACTAGAGTTTCTATACAACCACTGACCGCACACTCCTTCATTCAGTATGTGGACTAGTTTCAGGAGGCCAAACTGCTTCTCTCGCTCATGTTAACATGCCACCCACCGAATACCATACACCACCTACCCAAGCCCAAACCTCTGATATTGCAAGATATCAATTTAATGAAACTCAACTCATTATTTAGTCTTCTTACTAGAGTTTCTACACAAACACTGAACGAACACTCCTCCCTCATTCAGTATGTGGACTAGTCTCAGGAGCCCCTTCTCCTGCCTCCCATTCTTCGTTTCCTCCTCAATTAAGACCCTATGTTCAATTGCCACCAGCAATGCTTTGGTCTCTTCCTCAAGACCCCTGAATGAGACCCTCTAAAATCTAGCCAAAAGTTTTTAGGGGACCCAGGAAGATACTTTATTGTCCTCAACATACCTCAGATTTACCATTCAATTCGCAGCACCCTAGTCAATACACTCCACGCACCAATGCTCAGAAATAATAACTGCTAATGGAGTTCTGTTCGCAATAGGGATCCCGTTCGCTTGCACTTCAGTGGTTGCCAATCAGCATTACTCTAACAAATGGGGATTATTGTTCATTTGGACCTCAATAGTCTCCTTCCTCCCAAAGACAAATAAGTGCTAGAATCTACTCCACTGACTGCAAGTCTGCAACGCAAGCACAACCTCAAATGTCGCAGAAGTGGCTTCCTTGCTTACGATTATGCTTCTATCACTTCTTCCATCCACCTTGTGACACTCAGTCCATCCTTCACTGCTATCAACCCCAACAATACTTAATCTACTCCACTGACTGCAAGTCTGCAACGCGAGCACAACCTCAAATGTCGCAGAAGTGGCTTCCTTGCCTACGATTATGCTTCTATCACTTCTTCCATCCACCTTGTGACACTCAGTCCATCCTTCACTGCTATCAACCCCAACAATACTTAACGCCTTAGAGCTTTCTCCTGCAAAGTGTTGTCTTCTTCATCCTATAGATCTAAGAAAGTACAAAGGAAGAGGATAAGTCATCTTCCCAAATGACCTCCTTGCCTTTGCCCTTGTAAACATAAGTGGGCTTTATGGGTCCCTAGTTTGAGTGCAATATTTGAATGGGCCCAAGTAAGCTGACCCAATGGGGAAACAAGGTTGGGTATTTGCCTGACTGACCTCACCCCGGGTCTGTTCACAACCCAGCCCACCTTCTTCTGGTCTTCAACCTCTATCCACCACCCAATCCACTAACATATCAATTAGTGACACATTATACTTTATCAAATTTAAATCTTAAAATGAACTCAGAACATCCAAGCATCTTGGAGCATCTTTGTCACTTCCAATAGCCATTAGATTGCCCCAAGATTGATGGCTCAGATCAGAGTTGCTGCTCCTACCTCTTCTTTATCCAGTTTCATCAAATCATCCCACAAGGCACGCTCTAGGAAGTTAATGCTAACTTCCACACCTTTACATTACAGAAAGATCAAAGATTTGTTTGCATTTACCTTGCAGTCTTCACTCACCAACTTCTGGACTGGTTTTTAACATAGGGGTTAGGAGACACTAACCTGGTTACAAGGAAACTCTTTCCTAAATCACCAACAAGCCTTGCCTCCTCCCTCCGTACTAGTCAGCACCTTGTCAATGTCTACCAAGGCTTTCACCTCTGGCCACTGAACATATGTTTGAACTTGTTTTGTTGACTTTCCCTTTTCTGAATAAATATGAGGATGATTACAAACTTTTCCTTTGATAATACAACTACAACCTTGACAAAATCGTATACAAATAAATATCAAGGACCCAACAAAGTGGATGTTCTCATATACATGAACAATTATTAATTCATGTCAAGGGGGAAAAAACTAGTTGACATGAGTGGCTCTCACAATCAATAGGGTAAACCACTCATGCAAAGAAGATTGCCTTTTTAACTATAGGCATTAATTATACAATCTCCAGCATCCAAAGTAATCTGAGAACATGTAAATATTTTACGCAGTTTAATCCACACGTACCTTTTCAATGTTCTCCATCATAACACCCTTTACTTCTGAAACCTGAGCCTTCACCTTTGCAAGTTTACTTATCTCTTCAGGATGATCAATACAGTACTGCATATGTTCCTTCAATTTTGACCTGTAGTATAGAAGGATCCATAGTCAGATGTCAAAACAAGTTAAGCATGTACCTAATCTTCTTCTAAGGTTGCATAGCCTGATGGGAATACCCAAACTCCTTGTTAAGGCTGTTAGCAGGAGCAGTGGCAGCCTTTCCACCACCATATCTTGATACAAAGTCATCCTTGATACGCTCCAGAAAAGCCATGGGGACCTGCCTACCAACCGTCTCATCCGCAACTACACAATATGCTGTGATACCCAGAAGATATCAGTTATCAGTACAAGGACTTCTGAAAAATAGTGCTATTGCCATATATGTAACCACCTCTAATTTGCAATGTCATGAGAAAAACTGAGTAAGAAAATTTTCAACACAAGAATATAAAAAGAACAATATATATAGTAAAAATAATATATACAATCACATGTACCCAAGAGGAAAAAACAGCTAAGCCACAAAGCCCACAATGTGGTGTATTTAACCATGTTGGCATCAACCAGACTAAATGAATCATATTTGCAAAAGGAAAATGTGATTTCCAAGAGTCTCAAGGGGACTCTCTTTGTCACTTGCTTTTCATTAAAGGAATACAAGAATTTTTTTTAAGACTAACAGAAGAGCAGAGAGGAATAATGCTGAGAACTAGGAAACACAATTCTGGATTGGATCTTGGTTCTACCTGATTTTATTAATATTCACAATGACCCATTAAGAACAGATTTTTGGGTTACATTGGAGTTGTATCCCCCATAGCCATAACCCCCCAACCCCGGTGACAGCAGAATTTGATCCCAGGCCTCTGCTACAACTAGTCAGCAAACATACCAACTGAGCTACCAGCCATTGTCAGTTGGTTGATTAAGGAAGAGCTTAGGAGTGTCTGGGGCTAAATTTAAAAAACGAGAATGAGGTTTATTTGGAAAGGCAGCTGAGGTGGAAAAAGAGAGTACAGAGGTAGATTTAGTTGGTACTGTTTTGTCGACAGCAAAGAAGAAGATGTTAGCAAACGATTCTTGCTCAGGTAAGATTGACATTGAACCTATGACATCAAAGTCACAAACTCGGTTCAGGAGAAATCTACTAAGGTCATTGAAGCTGAGGAAAATGAAAGTGAGGTTATGCAGAGGAGTCTTTTCTTCACAAGAGAAAGGGTTGTACCAGCCCTATAATGGCCCTTTTCTTTTTCTTCCAGTAATAAAGATTGGGAGACTTGAGAAGAATGGTTTGATCATTTCAGGCAAGAAAAAAGTTTAGAAATTGTTACAGGTTCGTAAGGGGTGGAACAAGATTACTCTCAGGTAGGTTGCAGTGGAGAGGCAGGATTTGCTTTTCCTGTCTCAGATTAAGATAGAGACAGTGTTGGATGACCAAGACACTAGAAGCAAAGTCAGAAGGAAGAAGACCAGTGGGATTTCTGAGTCCAGTGATGGTGAGTTAACGGCCTCTTTTTTGAGATCAGATAAATCATTGGAAGATTTTCGAAGTGTACAAAATGGCAAGGTTGATATAGAACAAGAGATAAGTTTTTTCAGAAGTTATAGTGGAGAAATCAGGATACAGATACAAATCGGTAGGAAGAAAAAGGATACAGAAAAGGAAGACTTGGTGAAACAGAATAAGCCCAGCTCAAAAGCCACAATGAAATTGAAAGGCACCATTGATGGGCAACTGGTTCACATACTAAAGCTTTTTCCAGGTTAAAAGATGGCATCATTGGTGCATATCCAAGTGGTAAATTCAGGATGGTTTATAAAAGGAAGATATTACAAAACCCGTCTGTATAAAGAAGAAGCTGGTGAGACTCTCTTGACCAATCTTCAGATTGTTGGGATAAGGGATCTAGCTATTCTTCTCTTGTTGAACGCTGTGGCTTTTGAAGGTGATCTTCTGGGGGAAGAGGATGATTCAGAAGAAGTTGATAAAGGAGAAGAGGACGGTGGAACTTGATACAGTCAGAAGAGTTAAAAAAAAGGTGGTTCTGGATAAGATAGTGGAAACTGGAGCTCAAGTTTGTAAAACACTGGGTTTATATGTTTTAGGAGGGGAAGATGCTACAAGAAAATTATTTTGGGATTTAGAACTGAAGTACCCAATGAGTAATGGAAGTCCTACTTCAGATTGGTAAATCGATGACAGTTTTGTGACTTTTGTCTTAGGGCTGTGTTTTTTGGGTGGGTTGGAAGCACTTTTGGTCTGTTGAGGGTCATGGGCTGTGGAAGCAAGTTTTTTTTTTATGAATGATAATAAATTTATTAATTCAGAAGCAGATTTAGAGTGAATTCATACAACATCCCAGGGAGAGGTGTGAGCTGCAGCCCCTCCTTGAATCTTACAAGTAAACTAGGAAAGAAAAGCAAAAATCACAACTGAGCCCAAAACAATTCTTCCCTATTTACCCCTTGCTTAGCTAACACATCTGACAAAGTATTTGTTGATCTCCCCACCCACTGTACAGTGACCAACATATTCCTTGTCAACCAACTAAATTTCTTCATTTCATTCTTGTAACRCCACAYAGCCTCTTCARGATTTTTCAACCAACCCACCACCACTTTSGAATCCCCCTCGATTGTTAGGTGTTGTACTCCCAGCTGGTTTGCAAATTGCACCCCTTGTACAGCAACTAAAAGTTCTGCCCTGATGGAGTCCCCAATTCCCAAGGGACAGAGTAGAGCAACAAAATTTCTCCCTTCTCATTTCTAAAAGCACCCCCCATTCCGGATAATCCTGGATTACTCATGCTACTTCCATCAAAGTTCAACTTCAGTGAGCCTTCGGATGGAGGAGACCAGCTTGTAATTGATTTGTCCTTTAGGGATGAACACCTCGCTACTACTGACCATTAAAGGAGAATTGATGAAAGATTTCCAAGGTCTTCAGCCAAGGTGTTGCCCTATTTAACACGCAGTCTTTCAATTCCTGACTGCTCCTTTCTTCCCAGAGAGTCCAAATCGAGGCAGCACGAGCACATCTCCACATAATTCTCCCTATTTTTGTAGGCCAATAAAAGGTAGAATGGTTGAAGAGCATGTGAACTTCTGCTGGTAGACTCCAACTACTCCCAAACAA